AAATTGTCGTAGTTTCAAAGTAATTAGCTGAAACATTCTTTCTTCTACACTGGGCCCTTTTCCGTGTGTATTTTCTGCAGATTGTGTAAGCGCTCTGTCCTGTCCGCTCTTCTTTTCCTTGGTGTTTGCGCTTTTGAATTTTTATACAATGTGTAGCCAACTAGCCCAACAGTTAATTTTGATTCAATATCTTTCTTCTACACTGGGCCCTTTTCCGTGTGTATTTTCTGCAGATTGTGTAAGCGCTCTGTCCTGTCCCCTCTTCTTTTCCTTGGTGTTGGCGCTTTTGAATTTTTATACAATGTGTAGCCAACTAGCCCAACAGTTAATTTTGAAACATTCAACCTAGCACAGCAATAAGAACTTCTCAGTGAAAGCAAGGAAGGCTAATGTGTAGAACCCGCTAAACTTTGCAGGTGACGTGTCCTGGGTTTCGCTTTTTGCACTCCCAGGAGACTTGGAAGAAGGAAGTGACATCAACGACTAGTGCAAACGCAGATTGGATGTTGACAGAAGAAAACAAAATCAACATCCAACCTGCATTTGCTGCGTTGTTGACGTCACTTCCTTCTCCCTAGTCTCCTGGGAGTGCAAAAAGCGCAACATAGCCCCTCTGAATGCAAGCGCAACTTATGCATCGCATGACGGAGCATATCAGTTCATGTTTAGCCTTGACCAAGGAGGACTCAGCTATCCACGACCTGAAGCTGTCTGGCTGTGCAAGCTCGTCTGCACCTTTGTCGAGAGGGCTCCACAGTCGGCAGAGATTCGTGGTTGTGGAAGGATTTGCAAGGTCCTCTCAAGCGCTGTGCTTCCATACCTTATGGACTACCCGCTGATGTGTGTTAACTGCCGAGACCCCTATCGCAGCGAAGAGCTCCTGCGAGCTCTTTCTCAGAAAACTCCTCAGACCTTTTTTGGCAAACTGGGCTGGTGACCTAAACAGCCCACTAGAGAATATATTGAGGCTTTCGCGGAAGCCTCTTTTCCGACGGTACTCCGCTTGTGAACTATATGACTTCCTTAGTCTGTTTTTTTGTGAACAATGAAGTTGATAATGCTGAAGTTATGCACGCGGAATCCGATTTTATATTGTCCTTCACAGGTGAATAAATGGCACAGCTCGCGCATGCTCGAGCGTCGGTTAAAACCGGAAATAATACGGCCTAGCTATATCCAACTATAACTCCTGTATTACAGTGGTAATAGAAACGGAACAACAGTTACGGGAACAAGAAAACGACAATTCGCTAATACTGCCAGCAGAATGCAGCTTTAACGCGCAGCCTGCAGCTGAGTGAGCTTTTCGCAGAAAGAATCATGTGCTTTTATTCTACACAGATTTGTCAAATCATTCATGCAATCTGGCACTCGTTTCAATTAAGACTTGCGGCTTCACGAAAAAAAAAAAATCTAAATAGCCAAACCGGGCCGGGCCGGGCGTACTGCTCCTCTCTCACTATATTTCGTCTTACCTTAGCATGGACTAACCGCGAACGCTGTGCTTGCGGGAGCGGCTAGCCTTTACTGCCTTGACTGGAGCACTCGCTGCACGAGCGCTCATGCAGCCGCCGAGGCTTCCTTCGAAGCAACTATCTCGCGCTTTTAGCACGCGCGGCTAACAAGTACATACTAACGTGAAACGAAGTATAGAGTTCCTCGATATGCTCCCCCGAAAGAAACTCTATCTTTCACCGATAACGAGCGCCACAGCTGGCGCTGCGGGGTAAAGTAGAACTATCGCTCTCACCGGCAGAGTGAGGCATACGGCAAACCGCTCCCAAGGGGAGTCCTAATCGAGTGGCCGTGGTTCGGCCTTCCACGATTGGCCGAATGCTGATTATGACGTCAGCAAAGGATTTCTCATTGACGGAAATAAAAGGATTGGCAGAACTTTAATGTCGACGGTGTTGACAGTGTTGCTTTGAGAGCATGGTAATGACGTCACAAGAGGGAACCATAGGAGGGCGCCACCAAAACATCTCGCCGCTAATAGCGTTGCTTTATTGTGTGCATTCACGCCGAAGTGTACCTCGTTAAGGCTGGTTCACACATCTGCGTTGGTTGCGTTCGCATGCAACCGAAACGACCGCAACGACAAAGTCACCGGGACAAGTGTTCGCCGTACACAGCATGGCAAGCGATGCGAGGGGTAGCTTCGCGTAGCAATCCATGAGTCACGGTTGTTGCGGTGATTTGGTCGTAACGGTCGATTCGGTTGCATGCGAACGCAACCGTTGCAAATGTGTGAACCAGCCTTTAGCCAGGACTAGTACCGTCCACTCTATGCGCAGAGAAGCTGAGGACGAGGAGGAGACGAGAGGGCTCGGGGACGTCAGGACGCCGGGCTCTGGTTGGAATGATTAGTAGGCAGACCTAAAGCTAGCTGCACGTGTCTCCACTGCACTCGTCGGACGCGTTAGAACGCGGAACGCCGGTGTCCAGCGTTTGACTTTTGCATTCGAAAGCATTCCACGAGTGCAGGGGAGAGAAAGGCTGCTATAGCTTTAGGACTACCCACTAATCGTTCGAACCAGAGCTTGGTCTCCTCCTCCTTTCTCAGTCTTTCGGCTCACAGCCTCGTCACCGCCGTTCATCATCGAATGAGTCGTTGCGAATCGGCAAAGTGACAATTCCAAGAAACAACAAAGTGCCGAGGTGTTCGGGAGATGCAACCAGTCAGAAGCCAGAGCTTAGGGTTGACTATAACAGGCATTGCACAGGGCTTATGAGTTGCGTCCAGACATTCGTCATTAAGCTACGTGTATACGTAGCCGGTGGTGCTCAGACAGTGCCAACAACTCCATAAAAACTCTCATTTATTAAAGAGAAAAGAAAAGCCGCGTTGTTTATGTGTTAACAGCCGAAATGTATTTTTTAGACACTTTCTAATCCGAAACGCTTCGACTTCGTGTCTGTCCTTTCTTCATTTTAGCTTTGTCTCGTTTTTTTTAGTCCTTAAGGGACAGGACAGACACTTCGTGTTTTTCCTGTCCCTTAAGGAGAAGCTGAAGAGGTTCTTGAAAAAAAAAAAAGACTAGAAAATTAATTACACCGTATTCTTGTTTCGTGAATTTGAATATCACGTTCGTTTTCACCTTCAACCAGTCGTTACATCATACCCATATTTCGGCCGCCAAGCGCGTGTCGCTCGTGTGGGCAGCGCGTGCAATTGCAAGTTTCCCAGGTATACTCCCGCACGCTGACGAAAACAGTCGTGACGTCTTTTTACAGCGGAGCAGTTAAGGGCTAGGTTCCCCAATATCGTGTCCGGTATGTCGACACAAACCTACCTGGACAACTACCTCCATCTATAAGCGACGGCGGCAAGCACACAACCAGTATGGTTTCCGCCGTCGCTCGTAGATGGCGGCAATCTTTCCAGCTATCATAGAAGAATGGATAGTTGGGTCCGTTGATCGGAATTCCTCGTAGGAAACAGCGCGAAAAACAGACGACGACGATGGAAGAGGCACACGTAACGAGCGCAGCGCTCGTCACGTTTGTTTCTTCGTCTTTGTCCGTTTTGCGCGCTGTTTCCTACGCTCCTACGCTCTTATCAGTTTCGGTTTGGGCTCACGATTAGGGTGCCTACATGTCTGTCTGTCTCAGGGTGAAGACATCCATTGTTGCCCTGAATGTGCCAGCGCGTAACACTCTCGCGCACTTGGTGCGTGACTTGGGCGGTAAAATGGCGTCTATGCCTTAGCCAAAGCTACGCGCTCGAGCTGAGTGACACCGGATTGCGCGCACTTCAAAATGCATAAAAAAATGATTGGGCGGCAAAATGGCTGAGATGTCACCACTCAAGCAAAAGCGCGTGTGTGTATGAAGGCACTCTACTCACGATGAATCAGTCGCGCGCCCTTTCGGGGAAAGGAGACAGGCTGCGGAAGGAGCGGCGACTTACGCAGCAGCGCGAATGGGTCCGCAACCGCCGCAAAGCCTCTGTCGCCTCGACTTCAACTGCGTCCAGCGCTTCAGATTCCCTTGCCAAAGAGCACATCGCTCGCCTGGAAAGCCGCCGCCGAGAACAGAACCAGTGATGTAAAGGGCGCCGGCGGGCCAACGCCAAGGATGACGATCGTTCCACGAAGGCCAAGTGCAAGCGCGAGGCCCGGTGACGACTGCAGCACTCCACGCCGGCTGAATAGTTCCCGGGTGCGACGGCGAGGTTCCGGAGGGAGTTCGTGGATTACCCGTTTGGCGTAACGTGCGCCGTGTGCGACTGACTCTGGTTCGCCGGAGACGTATCCACGATCGGCGGCGTGTCCTACGAAAAGAAGCGGGAATCGGGCGCGCGCGCGTTGCAGCAGTGTATCGAGTACAGCTCCGCTGGTCTTCCTTCTTCACGAGGGAGGAAAGGCTGAACGTTTTGTCTGACCTTCTGTCTTTGAAAATAGCAAGAGTGCGCGTGTATAGCTTTGATATGCGCTGAAGATACGCGTGGGCGGAGATTCCATAAAAACTCTAGATACGACGTTATGCTCCGGAAGGAGGGGCTTCAGCGATACCTTGAGAATGATTTCGTGCAGCCGTCGTGCACCGAACTGAAAAATTATCTCGATATTCGTGATCCTGCCGGTGGCCAAATTCGAAGACGATTGAAGTGTTTCTACTCAAATACAGAACCGCTTCAGTTTCTTTTTAGGCCGCAGTCGTACTGCTCGTATACATCATACAAGGAACACGGAGTTTCTCCGCAAATACGATGACAGAATTAGCCGCGGACACGCCTCACGCGTGTTCGAAGTATGATTGTCTGCAGACGGTTTTTTATAACCATTGTAACCGTCATTCAAGAAAGAAACACGCCTCAGACGGTGTCTTCAGGCCTTGTATGATGTATTTGCAGTATGGCCTTACCGTGGTAACACGCAGCATTCTCACGCAACCTGTGCCCCGCACTGGCCCTCGGTAGAAGACGTACACAATCCATTCCTCCGACGTCGGCATGCAGGAGTCGTGGCGCCTAATGGCTGCTGTCTCCCTCCCGGCAGGTGTACGAGACGATCGAGAAGAGCGAGGTGCGCGTCGCCGAGCGCGACCGGAGGGACGCCCTGCGCACCGAGTGGCACCAGGTGGCGGCTGTGTGCGACCGCTTCCTGCTGGCCGTGTTCCTGCTCAGCACCGCGCTGGCCACCTTCCTGGTGCTCTTCTCGTCGCCGCCCGCCCTGCCCGCCGCCGTGGGGCCCTGACCGCAGGCCAGACTCCGCAGCACGCCACGCGCCTTCGCCCAAAGGACCATCATCTAAGGACCTCCGCGACCGACCGCGGGGCTGTCCTGGTCACGGAGCAGCGTCGTGTGGGAAAGGTCAAGCGCTCTGTGTGTGTCGGTGAAAGAACTCTGCCGGATGACACCTCGGACGCACCGACCGTCGGCTCTCTCATCACGGCCTGCGCGGAGTGGGATCTGTGACGAGCGTGCCCCACGTGGTCTGGAACTGGGAAGAGCGCACTGCGTCTTGTCTCGCTGGCGGGACGTGTAGGAGGTATACTTAACCGGGTGGGAAAACGGATGTCGATCCTTTTTTATTCTTTTTTTTTTTAATTATTTACGTGGGTCTTTGCTACGAGTAACACCCCTGCCACGCGGCGAAATGTAACGGCATTTCCATCGAATGACGCTAAGTGATGCGCCAGAAGTGGCGCGCGCTGGTTGGCCGATTAGGTATGGTCATTTGGTGGAAATAACAATAAGTTTTACTCGCCCAGTCTGCAGTATTAATAGGGAGTTTTACTAGATCGTTTTCAAAGGCCCTCTACCGCTACGAACGCGCGCTTCAGAGCATGCATCGAAGTGGCAGCGCGAGCTTCCGCTGCGATTATCTTTGGCCTGAAAACACAATCTACTAAAACTCTCTAATAAATTTTACCGTGTGGTGGAACCATGAGACAAAAAGAATGAAAACAAAAGCTTGCACGTACAACTTTTTTTTTAGATTTCTTTTGATGCTACGATAATTCAATCATTTTCGGAGATTAGCCAATCTCGCACGAAGGTGAAACGACTAAACTGGTCGGTGCACTACGATATATGAGTTCGTGAAAAACTCGATTTCAGTTTCGGTTTTCTTATTCGACTCATCTGGAATAAAAGGACGAGAAGCGGTCCTCCGGGCGACCTCTCGGAGAAGAAACGACTTTGAGGACAAAGCGCGTTTTGGCGTTCTACTTTTTCACTCTGAAGAAAATAGCTTTAGCATTACTTTTTAATGGAATTATAAAGTACTCATAATACGCATCGCGATATCAAAAAAACATATTTAATTATGTAAGTTACTTATTGTTGGTTATAAGTTAGTCATCTGTCAAGGAGTCTCCTTTTTCAGTCCAGACGTTCCCTGTGGCGGGATCGAAGTCGTCACAAGTGAGAACTCCGTGGTCTCCCTCCTAATCGTCCTGTTACAAACCGGACAACTTGCTACGCGTTGTCAGCAAGTAACAGAGCACCCTGATGAAGTTCTACCCTGCTCAACAAGACCCAAACTCTGAGGACAAGCAGCTTTATTCTTGTGGCGTTTTAATTTTTCTTAAAGCATTCCAGCCACACAAGATACTAAAAATCCCGTGTGTCACGATTGTGTGACTGAGAGAGTTTACGATAATTCTAGCATGCCGTGAGATTTTCGAGGTAGAATAGTTTAAATATTGCGACAAAATCGTGCTGAAATAACAAAATTTCAAAGCATTTTTTTTACAGGTTTGCTGATAATTACTTTTCGCTTTTTCGTAAATCTACCTTCCCGCGCATGCGTGGGCCGAGAAATACATGCATACTTCTACGGAATCTTCATATGTCACGACGGGTTTCCCGATTATGTCTCAAAATTTTAATTTTTTTGTAATCTCAAGCCGTGCACACCTTTACCAACGGTTCATGACCGAAAGCACAGTTCTGCCAAATGTTTTGCTTTTTTGTAAGCCCTAACTGAGGAAAAGTACCTTCTAAAGCCAAGACAAATTTTCTGGATGAAACTTAAGGACAATAGACCGTGCTCAAAAGCCAATTTTGTTACGCCCCCGCTGTCGCCATGCCTCGTGGGAACCCTAGTCTCTGCACACGCAAGAACCTCGCTACGGGTTGTTTCAAGCGCAGAGACGGCACGAGCGGTCTCGTGCACTGTCGCCTGCCTCTTGCGAACTACAGTTATGGCGGCGTCACGCATGGAGACCTTTGTCTCCACTGCGCTCGTCTACCGCGTTCAAATGCGAAAGTCAAATGCTGGACACCGGTGTTCCACGTTCTAACATTTTCTAACGCTTTCGAGAGCAGTAAAGACAAAGGAAGCTAGGTTTAGGTCTACCCACGAATCATTTCTACCAGAGCTCGGCGTTCTGACGTGCCCGTCATCTCCCTCAGTCTCTCGAAGCATAAAGACCGTTCGCAAGATACTGAGAAATGTTTCATGACAGTCATATTGTTATCAGCCAATACAACTACAAATAACTCTGTTATGTTTAGCTCGCATCGATTACATTGCACGAGTTGTCGTAAGAATGGTTCACATAATATCCTGGCGTTGAACATTAGGTCGAAACTCGAAAAGAAACGCGCACATACTGATACGCATTGTGTAGAACCGATCGCAAGATTATATACGTAGAAGCAGCAGAGCGAGTTGGTTAGGCGTTATCGGGGGTTTTGAACTCTAGTAAGAACATTATCTTTGCTCGAGTTGAAACTTAAGTCACAAAAATACTCCAATTTAAGTCTAAACCACGGGTGTTAGACCCAACTTTTTCTTGTTCATTATGACGTAACAAAGCCTATCTTGTTCAACAATCGTTCAAAAACCTTTTTTTTTTTTTTTTTTTCAGTGGTCGAGTTACGGTTTTTTATAAAATGAGAAAAAGAATTATAGCTGGCATTAATTGAAACTTTTTGTAGCTGCGCACTTTGTCACTCGTCAACACCAGTGTCAGAGTGACCGAAGAAATTTTGGAAGGTTAAGTATTGTCCATTCTTTCTGCTTTGTAACAACAGATTCGTTCATGTGGTACCTTGTTTCATTGAGTGTTTTTGTTTTTTTATTAGCTTGACCAGAAAGAAAAGCCTGCACTCCGAAATAACACTGTTTTTGTTGTTTTTTTAATGCGGAATATGTTTTTAATGTTTTTTCCAAGCTTACGTCGTCGGGAAATATTCTAACAGAAATATGATAACACTTTCAGTTGTCTTTTACGAAAGGCTATGTCCCAAGGCGGGAATAGAGCCACTGACCCCTCGTGATTTATTTCTGCTGTTACAATTTGCACACCCCTTTCGTTTCGTGTGAATGATGATGATGATGATGATGATTAACTTTATTTTCAAAAAGGGTGGCGCCATGGCCTCATTGGGGGAAGGGGATAATAGCTTTCCCGTGTCAACTTGCATTCGTTTTTTTTTTTTTTTTTTTTTTTCTTTGGTTGAGCTAAGCGAATGCAACAAACCCATTGCACTGGTGCTTCGAGTGCGCCTTTATTAACAATGATGCTGCTGACCTCGTGAATTTTGGCCGAACATCCAACTCTACGTAGGGAGGAAAATCGTGTAGCCCCAAAAGTCGTGTTTCGAGTAAACGTCGAAATTCCGTCGAGCGTAGGGGAGTGTGAATGAGATTTATGCAAACGACACTCGGCGCGGTCGTTAGCACGTGTTGCTTCGCAGGCTGCAGCGTCGTTAACGAAAAACACGCACTCGCCGTCCCTACGGCCTTTGGGATATGGAGCCGTCGACTACTGCTTCGTTGCACCCTATTGATGTCGTTAAATTTTGACGATATGTGATGCTTTGCAGGCCTGTTTCTGATACATATTTAATCGCGAATCAGACGTTCGTTCGAATTAACACGGCGAATCCCTTCTTTCATTTATTGGTGAGTTTTAGTATGGTGTACTCGAGCAAACGCGAGCACTCGGCGCGCATACGTTAGCATCGCGCGTTCCACACTGCGCGTGCGCGGAGCCCAAATTGCGTCTTGAATTTGCGCATGACGACGCCCATGTACAGCGTAGACCACGCGACACTAACGCTAACGCACAACGTTTGCGTTCGCTCGTTCAGGCAATACTAAGGCTCTCTATTCATTTATTCGAATCTCTGTATATAAATATCGTCACGAGCGGAATTATTTGAAGTTTTTTTTTTCTATCAACTTCAAAATTTGTTGTACAGGGTGTGCGGGCCAGTTCCGACTGCCATGAGACGGGGACAGTAATACTTCCGGTTCCCATATGTTTACCTTGCGTTCGAGTGGTTGCGCGACGACTCTTGGTTCACTAGCGACCAATTGCGTTTCTTCCTCTCCTGTTTTTCCTTTCCTTCTTCTTGAACAGGCTGGGATACGCCCTTTCCCCTGTAGCTTTGGCTGTACTGCACGGTTTTCGTGAGACGGAGTATTCGCGACTCCAGTGAACATAGGGGGCGCGCTGGTAAGGCAAATTGGCGGACGAGAGGAGGTCGTTGTCGTCGTTCAGCGCGGGGACCACCATAAATTTCTTGCACTGCGGCGTAAAATCGGTCTTCCATATGAAAACAAAGCGAGTTTTCGACGGTAAAAAAACTTCTTCTAGTCATTGCGTAGGAATGACAAGGCGGAAGCATAAAAATAATTACTGGAAACGATGTTTGTTTCTATGCTGCCTACGAGAGCCAAGCAGCGATAGCAGACGACAGAGTCGAAACAACATCCTCTCCTGAGCTTCTCGGCGTTGCCGCTACGCGGCGTTGGTTTCGCCGGAGTGGCCTAGGGAGGCTCAAGTGAGGGTGGGTGCAACTCCTAGATCGGGGATCACGGGACATGGACGCCATTTAATTGCTAAATTTTGCTGGGAGTCCATGGGGCAAAGGGTCGTTTTCTTTCCTAACTCAGGTCATAGAGGCCCATTAACGTGCTTGAATAATTTACACAAGGTATAAATGATTACTTTTCCATAGCCACCAGTTTTGTTGCGATACTTTAAGTATTTTTTTAACGCGAAAAATGGTAAATTCCGCCATCTTGGACGTTGCTGCTTGTCTGGCAACCCTGCTTTCTCCTCTCGACGTTTGCAATTCTCGGAGCGAGAAGGAAGCGAGAGAGGCTGCGCCAAGACGTTCGTTGCTTGCAATGGGAGGCGAGAGGAGGAAAGGCGCGTGGAGCAGCAACAGAGTTGCAACAGAGCGGGCGCCTGCTCTCGTGCAGGCAACATTGGCGCATATCCTTTCTCGATTCCTCTCCCTCAGGCGCCGCCATTAAATTGCAAACGCTCTCCAGGTTTTGAGTTGCGCCCACGCTCACTAGAGCCTCCCTAGAGTGGCCAAAACAAGTTTGCAAGTTCGACCTCAGGGCGCCGCCATCTTTTTTAGCTGGGGTGCGCTTGGGCGAGGCCATAATTCGATTACAACGCCTTAGCAAGGCTTCGTAATCAGATTATGACGCGTCCCAGCGCACCCCGATTGAGCAAGATGGCAGCGCCCTGAGGCCGGGCTTGTAAACGTGCATAGGTGATCGCAGGAGAACGGCGTTGGTAGACTGTGCTAGCCTGCTTCGATTTACTGCCGACAGATGGCGTAACGCGACAAGCGCGAAAATGCGGTGCCGGCGCCGCGACGCATCGACCGGCTTGTCTCCGTACAACGATGGGCCATTACGGGACGTACAAATGCAATGTGCACGGTGTTCTGGGGAAGCAACCTTGAATACCAAAGTAAGCGTCAAAACACTAGAAAATTGTGCATTACGGGGGCTCGCGTCGTGGCAAAAGAATCGTAATAGAAAAAGCCAGAAGATTGTTTGCTAAAATTAGGGGAAAAAATCATGATTTCTTTTTTAATCAATGAAGTGAGATTTATTTTATTTAAATAAGATTCAGTTGATTTAAATCACTGTAACTACAAAATAGTGATTTCAATCACAAGAAGTATTTTTAAACATGGCATATTGATTGATCAATTCGTCCGATTACTAAAACAATGCGGAAGAAATACTAAAGTGGAAGTAAACCCCTCCTTAGCAGAACCAAAATAGCTTGATTTGTCATAATGAGAAAGCTTCACTTTCTTTTTCTTTTGTGTTATGAATTTCTAGCAGTCGAACGTCACTTCTTAAGTTTTCCTTTCTTTCTTTGCCGTTCTTATTTACTCGCAATAAGACGTTCGAAACTAACGCGGGAGGTGGA